ACTTTCGCACTAGACTTTTGGACTATCACTTACATTACTCGTCCAAAACTAGATAACCCAAAATTATCGTGAACTGTGCCTTTAAGCTTCCCATTCCAGGCAGGAGGAATGCATCTCTCTGACCAGGCTAACTGATAAAAATCAAGTAGATAATGTTGGACCTGTTGTTCCTACACCCAGCCAGAGCCAAAAGAGTTCGAAAAGCCCCATCGTTAGTCGAGCTCCAGTTGTGAGAGATTACAGCGATTTATCCGTCCCCTTTTCAGACGGGTAGTTTCTGCAGAGAAGATTTCGATTTAAAAATTATGCTTCCTTGAAAACCACAGTAGGGGTAGAGCCAAAATGCTTGTGCCGTAGAACAGAGTGTCTGCGACGTAATGGTTCCCTACCGTAATGTTGCGGACTTTCTTTCTTTCCCATGTTCATTAGGCATTTCATAACTTGTTCACCTGGCATTTTAGATTCTGTTTTGTTTCGTTAGGATCCCAAACATGATAGAATTTTTCATTGCAATTTCTCCTGTCATTTGTTTTGATATCATCAAGCTTGTATCCTTTTCGTTGGTTTGGCATAAAACCGAATATAACCCTGCTAGACACATTTCCTTTAATGTTGCCTTCCCTGCCTCTGACTTTCAGATCAGTATCACTAATTTTAATACTTTTATTTTCACCCAAGAGGCCTAGGCATTTCCCCACTTGCACGTAAGGATAGGACTCATTGTTGATACCTACAATTCACCTCTTTGAGGTTCGTGCTTATCTGCAGCGTTTAATGTTGTGTGATGCGGCAAGTTGATTCACCAGGATCAAATGGAACAAAGGTCCCACTTACTTTCCTCGTAGGTCCCACTTACTGCTTCTTCTCATCCACCTTCCACCTCCTCCTTACAAACCCATTAGAGCTTCTGTATTTCAATCCCTCAGAAATACAATTTTATTTCTGCGATGTATCTCTGCTAGTGAATGGTATTGAACTCCTATTATTACATATGAATATGCATACATTGAAGACTTATTTCTTCGACTTGGGTGGTTTTCTTTAGCAAAAAATCGTTATTACTGCATTTATCATCAATCTCCTGCTTGCAGACTGCTCCTTGGGTTGACACATTTGACGATTTACCCTTCGTGCATTCGAGATGTCTAAGTTTTTTAAAGGAGCTGTCAGCTCTGAATCGTCGTCAGAGTCTGACGTCTCTGACGTTGAAGAGGAGGTACAAACCAAGAAAGTGCCATTGTAAGTTTTTTCTCTGAATTTGGACTAAACACGAGTTGAATATTAGGAGTAATATTTTTGTAATGTGTCTGGAGAGTTCTTCTCGCATATGACAATGAGTGGGTGCCTACAAACAGAACTATTTTCTTGTAGCATAGTAGTGCAGTAAGATTTTTCAAACTGAAATGTCTAGGTGTTTCCGTTGGATGAGACGGCGTTTCCGCAAATAGTGGTAGTATATTCAAACGATACTATCTCCAAACTAGGAAGGCAGCTTGGTACTCGAAGAGCATTTTCCATTCCAGAGCGCGTGATTTTGCTTATCCAAGTGACAGCGAAGACGAAGAGAAACGTGTGGTACGCACACACAAAGAGAAGAAGTTCAAAGAGCTCAAAGATCACATCAAACAAGTTAACAATGGCAAGAACAACAAAGATTTTACAAAAATTTTGTCAGGTGAGAATGTTATTCGTCCTTTCATTCTACTGAGCTGAGCTTAGTCTTTGTCTTCAGTATTTGACGATTTATGCAAGGCGTATGATAAGTCAAAAACGGTGTTTGCTCGACAAAATATTTCTACACCACGCTTCTACATCAGGTTGGTTTCCCTTAATGATTGCAAAATGTTTTGAACTCATTTGAACTAGCCTTGTGTATGCACACAGCCAGAAATGAATATTCTTTAAACACCACATTTAGGTATATGGTCGATTTGGAGGATTATGTTGCCAATTTTTGGGACAACAAGGAAGCCAAAACTGTGAGATATCCATTATCTTCTCAGTCTGTACCACTTCATAACGATCAATTGTTCTAGGCACTATCCAAAGTCAACTTGAAAGCCCTCACTAATCTGCGGCAGAAAGTCCGAAAGTATGTAAAGGAGTTTGAGCAAAAGATAGCTGAGTACCGCGAAAGTCCTGATCCGCCAGGCTATGAAACCCCAGAAGAGGAGGAAGAAGTAAGTGCTCTTTTTACGTTTCTTGCACACTCTACGCTGTAATGCCAATCGGTTATGATTGTTCTATGTATTTAGTTACTTAAATCGATAAAGTTTAGGCCGATGAGTCGGGCAATGAGGCTAACGATGTTGCTGCTCCTACAGGAAAAGAGAAGAAGAAGGATGTCATGAGCAGTGAAAGCGAGGTGTGTTTTACCAAAGTGATATTTGAAAACGACTCTTGGGTAATTGCTCTTTAATAGCCGTGTTACATACTCATACTTTTGCTTTTCAGAGTGACTCAGACTGGTCAACAGATACAGATTCGAGTCCTTCAGATGACGACGCAGATTTTGGTTCGAAAATGGAAGCTCTGAGAAGACACTTCTTGAAGTATGTATGCGCTTCTTCCTGTTTGAAAAACTGGAATTTGAAAAAGCTTTTTGCAAACATTCCAAGTGTTAGTAAATAGCAACTGTGAGATAGTGGGATTCTGTAACGCCCGCAGAGTTCTTATTGAAGCGGGCAAAACTTGCAACCTTCTTGGCGTAGTCCTTAGTACATTGGGTGGCCTACTTTCAGCTTTGACTTCATATAATAAATTACCGATTAAGAATTCAAAGTATTCCAGGAAAGAGTTCCGAGGTGAAGAAGACGGCGCTGCTGACACGAAGAAGGAAAAGAAGCGTAAGCAAAGGGATCAAAACAAGCCCAAAGTGAGTAGCTGTATAGGTACCAGGCGTTTGCAGGCTAACAGTGAGAAATTGGTCTGGAATAGCATGACGGAACCCATCTCTTGCAACATGTTATTAAGATTAAGTTATTCTAAGTATGAGAGAGGCAAGAGAAGTGGGAGTGTTTCCATCCATAGAGTTGATGCAAAAATTGTTCTCCAACTTTACTCCCATTATAACGCACTAAGATTGCCAACTCGTCTATTTTTTCGGCTGCGCTTGATCTCGTCGGCGATGAGGATGACGATGGCGGTGAATGGACGCCTATCACGAAAGAGAAGCAAGTTCAGTTGTTCGAACCAAAACAAGAGGTCACGCACGAGGTAAGTCGTTATGATATTTATTGTGCCCTTATTGTACCATGCGGCGCCATGGTTGAAATTTTGATCAAAGAAAATCGAAGTCAAGTTTCGGTTTAAGGCGATGATCAGTAAGTTGACCGAGGTGATGGCTTCACGAGGGCGTCTCGGAACGAATAGAAAACAACATGTTCGTCTGCTACAGGAGTTATACAAAATTGCTGAGGAGGTAACGAATTAACGAATTGAAGATTTTTTCCATATGGGCTTGGGTTGCAAAACTGTTTGCATCATGTGAGAACTATTGTTTACAGAAGAAACTTGGTGTTGGAATTTCTGTGAAAATTCTGTTCAACATTATTTCATCGCTATTCGAACTTAATACAAAAATCAGTGACTTCATGGAATTTTCTAATTTCAATAAGTGAGTTACCTCATTTAATATTTTCATTTTTCCCTTTACAACTTAAAATTTTCTGTTTGTTCTGGCTTCGGGCTGTTGATCCGAAGTTCTACACGGGATCGGACCATCGTCTCCTCCGCGCTTG